ATTTGCCGCTCGGGGTATTCAGCCAAATCGGTATTCTCAGAACAATCAATACTACGGTTCCACTTCTCAGAGGAAAAGATAAAGTCTAATGTACTCGATCATTATCATAAAACAGGCTCCATGGTTATCCACTAGGCTATCAAGATCGACATAATAAACCATTTATCAACCAGACTCAAACAAGATTTTGCAGTAAATCAAGTATCCCTTATGATCAGCCATTTTTTGAGCTCAATGACTGTTTCTCATTTGGCCAATAAAGTAAATTTCCATGAACACATTATCTATCCTTTTGTATATAAATCTTTCTGCAAAAAATCCAGCTGTTATTCATTCCTAAACTTATTCCACTACAATTTCCCACATGTTCACTATTTCCTCACACTTGTAACCAAAATTCACCAACTGTTTTAAAATAGGAATTCAACAATAAACAAGTCCATATGGACATTTCTCAGGGATACACTTCTAACAGCAACTTTATTTGAACAGTGGAATATTTAAAAATTTATAGAAGCTATTCTTATTCTTGGTTTCAAACACTCTAAATCAGATTACTCCTTATTTATTAAAGGAACTGGTCAAATTATTTATGTTGATGATATGCAATCCATAATTAAACAGCACAATTGAAAACACAAATTCAATCATGTTTCCAAGCTGAAATATCTTGACAGGATGAACTACTTTTTGGGTATAGAAGTTGCAAGAACACTTCTGGTTTTTTCATTTCTCTAACACAATATGTGATCCAATATATTCTTTTTTATCCCACAAATCGACTATAACAAAATTCTAATGAATTTTCTATGGATTCAAATTACGGTAAATTACAACCACCACCCTGAGGTATTGTCCATTTACGAAAAACCCCCCTCTTATTTGGATAATTATATCTACCCCTCAACAATATTTTTTTTTCTTACACCTCCATCCTTATGGTGTCAAATTCAACATAATCATCTAGATTTCGTGGAATATTATGCTCTAGTTTGTACTCGTTTTGTGTAAAAATAGAGTTTCTGATGCACCACAATCTGATATATACAAGCCAAAAAACACATATTATGATCATCTTGCTTTTGTATGTGGAGTTCGAATGGGATAAAGCAGTTACAAAAGTGATAATATTCCATATAATCTCGAAGATTCCACTAAATTTGAAACCATAAGAGTGAACGTGTAAGAAAATTTATAGTTGAGGGGATGATTGTAATTACCCAAACAAGAGGGGAATTTTTGTAATCTGACCATACCTCAAGGGTTGGTTGTAATTTACCCTTAAAATTATTAGTTGTTTTGAGTTTAATAATTCTTTCATTTTTATTCTTTAAATCAACTCTAACAAAATTTCAATAAAATTATTTAGTGTTACATGTATTTTTTAAGGAAAAATAATATTATTTGTCACATATTGGCCTATCCACTCTTTGTTTGCCCGTAAACCGAGAAACCTTCCACCGAATGCACTATCCATGATTGTCATCGAGATTACATGCACAGTAGTATTATCCTTTTGTGAACGAGGCATCAACATTTATTTTTAACATTCCCGTCCGAGGTGCCCAGTGGCGGAGCCAGAAATCCCGACTCATAATTTACGGGGGTAGCGCCCCCAATTTTTTTTCCTGATTCAATATTCACACAAAGGGGGTGATTTTCTCTTGAAATGTCTCCAACTAATTGCTTCACTATACCAAATAACATTAATTTTATGAATACATTTTGAGTTTTGGTGGAATGGGCTAATTTAGATTATTTTGATGGACTAAATATACAATAAACTATATATATAATATAAAAAATATTAAGATTTCACGAGGTGGCTACCCTCTCGGTTGATAGTGTTGGCTTGCTGTAGAGGCTTGTTGGGTAGCTTGACTTGATTGTACACAACCATGTAAGATGTGCTCCAGCTCGCTAAATTGATATATGAGTTGATAAACGATTAATTTTTACAGGGTGGTTACGACAG